ACAACACAACAACTGATGGGAAACTTATGGCTCGCGAAGAGGTTATAGAATGAGATATCATTGCACAGGTCGTCGACGCGCCCCATAATCACGTGGCTGTTGAACATGAGGTCACGTTTCAACTGCTCGTAAATCTTATTCAATTGGAGTATCAAATCGACGGACACATCGAAGTGGATGTCCTGTTCTAAGTACTGAAGACAGTCCTCGTAGAGACCCTTCTGGTGCTCATCCAATGGTTTGGAGAGCTTATGGTTAATGTATTTGATGGCCGGGTCTCGCAATTCGGACACATCTTTGACCGTAAAATAAGTGGAAATTCGTCGGCTTTTCAAGAAGTTATTTATGCTTTTCAGCGAATTCTCGTCGTTAGAAGTGACCAATACTTTCATCTGACGGAACGAATCGCATAAAACGATTTGTCGCACGATTTCGCCCAAAATGTTCGTCTTCTCCGAGCCCTTCACTAACAGGAAGTATGAGTGAGAGGCGGAGGGGTTGGCCACCACATCCAGCGCCGTCTGAATGCATTCCTGTTCCCTCGAGTCATACCTTTTCTCATCGATTCGGACGGAGAGACCGGACGCTCTCGACGTGAATATAGGTCTGAAGACTTGATTGTAAGCCGGGAACTGATCGAACTTATAGAGGGCTCTCACTTGCAGTACATAATTGTGAATACAGATCATGGGATCGGCGATAAGCAGCGAATCATTTCTTATATACAAGTCGTCGCCATATTTGGTCATAAACGTGATCTCCTCGACCATACTGTACGGCCTCTTCTCTGCTTTGGAGAACGTTCTCAAGTGATTCACTTCTGTCTGATTGTTGGGATTAGTCTCTCGGACGGTGTGACTCGTAATGTACGCCAAACACTTGCGCCGACCGATGGTGTGCTGATTGCTGTCGGCCTTAGTCTGGATGGCCGTCTGAAGCATTGCCAACTGTCCGAACCGGAAGTGCGGCTTCTCGTCGGATCCGATCACTGAAATGCACTTCAACTCCAAGCCGTCGAACATCCGATTGGTCTTCCACTTCGTCATTATAGAGCACTTGCGGCCCAACACCCTCTTAGGTCTCGACCCCCACTCTTGTTTGGCGTTTCGCCACAAATCCATTATCACGAACGGCACAAACGACTCGAGAAACGTGTCCATCGATCGGAACTCAAGAGTACGCGTTATGTCGTTCAGCTTTGAGTGTATCGACAGTTCAGTCATGTCTTTGGCCTCCAAGTCATTGCCACTCAAAGACAATATATAAGTCATGAAATGTCGCGAGTCTTTCGGCAACTCCTCTTCCACTTCGATCTGTTCACAAGTGGTGGTCAATGGTATGGTTGCCTATGGTATGGACACAACACCATCAATACATACATCCACACAACAAATGGGTCCCAAGAACTTACGACTAGAGGGACCGACTCTTGCGACCGACTTCTTGGAGGAGACATCGGCTCCGGTTTAATGCGTTTACTATTGTTTTGAGAGGAATCGTTGGCTTCATTTGACCTCCGCTTCCGACCCGAATCGGCTGCACCTGTTGAGAGCCCCTCTGCCACACCTGCCGTCCCAACCACTTCCGCCTTAACCACACCACCGACTGATCCAGTATTGGACTCTTGAGATACGGTAGTAGTGTTGGCCACAAAGTCGTCCTCATCGTCGTCCGCGTCCGCCTCTTCCTCATTGCCATACAATATAGCCATCATATCCGGTATCTCTTCGCCACTGTTGCCATCATTGGCCTCATTATCATTATCTCCGCCACCATTGTGTCCATTGTCTGCAGCCGTGCCCTCACTCGTCCTCTCAGGCGTTGCGGACGACTCGACCGGTTCGGCGATAGCGTCGACAGTCGTGTCCACCACATGAGCGCCCGTGTCCTCCATCCGTGTCTCGGGTGACAATCACTTCCAATTGGGATCTAATGGCAAATCACACGCAATGGTTGCCAATCGATGGGCATATCGTCTGCTCGTCTGGCGTTTGAATCAGCATTTTGTCCGCTTTTTTCGCACACTTTTAGAGATGTTTACGGTTTAGAGGATTGTGTCCACAAATGCAGACAACTCTTAGCCACTAATGAACACTGGATTGCAGTGACAGTCCGTGTGTTGACTACAGTCTGCTATACCACTCGTTTACCACTCATTCACGACATTAATTGCAATCAAATCGTTGGGAATTTAATGAAAAGTTTAAAACATGAGGCAATTGTGAGCAATAATTACGATTACTATTTGGGAGAGGGTGTCATAAGTACCGTAATTATCATAGCTATCAAGGAATATTTTAAATCACCTTGATTAAACAGTTTACCACTTATTAATAGAGTTATATCGATATCAAAACATATTAAGTATAAAAGTAATTAAATTAACTTTAAATCTATAATTTAAAATTAAATCAATGAATAGAAAACACAAACTATTTTCAGACATTATTTATGGACCGAAACGAGTGTTTGACTCAATATTTATGATCACAAAAAAAGTCAACAAAAAGACCATTC